GAAGCTGAACAATGGTAAGAATAAATGAAGGAGACCAGCTCAAAAGATCTCCACACAATTAAGTATTCCTAGTGTTACAAAATATTAGAATTCTAACAACTTTGAAGTCCTTTGTAAAGTTGAAATTATCCTCTACGACTTTAGATATTGTCTGGTTCTCTGGGACTAAAACGCGGAACTGTATTTTTTCTATATATTTTGTAATACATAATTGTACGAGTCGTTCTTTTCAATTAAAGCGAATCTGCCTGACACAAAGTGAAGAAGTGCGCTTGAGTCAGCAACTAGAGAGCGTCGCGCAAATGTGCTACGTCAGACGAAATAATATAGCAGCGTTTAACCCAGACGAATACATTAAACGAGGAGCAGAATGCTTCAGTGCTATTTTTACACTAATCCTATCGTTTTTGCATACTACAGTAGGAGGGCAAGGAAAGTGGAAAAAAGTCTGTACGGCATGTTGGGCAAGCCTAGTTGAATAATGCAAAAGTCATTAATGTGCAAGAGGGAATAAAACTTCGAGCGGAAACATAAATTTGTGTTCCTTAACAAAAAAAAAAGGAAAAAGTTTAAATCTTATTTAGCAAGAGAGCCCTATAACAGTTGCACTGTCAAGAAAATTCTAAGATTGACCTCTGGCACCAATTTACGCAAATTTGCTTATTCGTGTTTGCTTCGATTCCAACACTTTTTATTCACATTACTTTTGCATCTTATTGTTATGTTCCTGACTCGCTGTACTTATATACATAGATAATTTGAATAATGTATAATCTCCTTTCACTATTGTCTCTTGTGATAGTTTGATGTATGCTGTTTTTCAAAGCTGAATCGAGGCACTTCTACCTCTCAAAAACACTTGCTGGTGGTGGTTTATGGCGAAATGGAGAATCTTTCCACGAAACTTCTTTTCTCCAAGTAAATCAGTGTTTTTGTAACGTTTTACTGTAATTTCCGTCTTACTAAACATCTGCAAACTTTTATGAAAAATGTCAGAGTTCCGTCTCTATAACAATAAAATTTGATTTCGCACTAGCGTACAGGCGGCAACGGTTGTCGACAAATGAAATTATGCAATGGAATAGCCATGAATCCGGCAAAATTTATCCCAAGAGAGTTTCCAACTCCTGCAACAGCCATGCTGTACTCGCGTATGTCGGGAGAAACCTGCAATAAGTTAAATACTCGGAAAAAATGATGTCTTTGACGCACTTACCGTTTTATGAATTTTGTTGAAAGTGTTCACATAAGATGAGCCTCCCAACAGCCCCTCAAAAATGATTAGGGCGAACATGATGGCTATACTGGGTACAAACCAGTATATTGCTTGAAAGAGGAAGAAAACAAAATTGCAAGTCTGTCAAAAGAAGCATTTACGTGATGGAAGCTAGAAAGTAAGTCAGTATGCATACCTGCAAGATTGGTAAAATGTAAAGCGACCATGTTGGCAATTCGAAAAACTTTACCGATGAGCGTGA